TTTTTTTTTTTTTTTGTTTTTTGATTTAAATAGTGTGTATCAGAATTTGTCTTCCTGCTAAAATTCTGAAAGTATAACGACATTAAATGCTGAGTGGCCTTGTCTGACAACTTTTGTGTAGGACCCATGGTGGAATCCGGCAGTTGAAGAACAAGCAGTTATGCGGATTCATCGCATTGGGCAAACCAAAAGTGTGATTATCAAACGGTTTATTGTGAAGGTATATTTTAGAGCATTTGGGAATTACTACAAATATTACCCTTGTGCTGTAACCTAAACAAGACTTGTTAGTCTTACCCACATTAATACAATACCTTGATGCATATATGTTTGATTGCTTCTAAATACAATCTCTTGAACTGATAGAAATTTCAAGGGCAGATCATTGAAATCAAACTGAAATTAATATTAATTCACCTATTCTACAAAGTCACTAATACCCGCTACTAGTGCGACTAGGATAGGGATATCTATGACAAGAATATAATTTGACTTATTTATTTCTATTTTATTTAGTTAAATTTCGTTTGGCATTGACAGGGGACTGTTGAGGAAAGAATGGAAGCAGTACAAGCTAGAAAGCAGCGCATGATAACCGGCGCTCTTACTGATCAGGAAGTCCGATCTGCACGTATTGAGGAGCTTAAAATGCTCTTCACGTAGATGCTACATATCTATCTACCCACATTATCTTACACTTTCAACTGCTGAAATATGCATTTTTATTTCTTGGGGCCCCCAACAGAGGCAAAAGTCAGGTTTAGCTGAAGTGTATAATATCCGGCGCTGCTCAAATTCATCTCATTTATGAGTCATGGGATTATTTTAGAAGCTGGACAGAAGTTAAAAAAAAAGCTTGTATGAACACCGTTAGAGCCTCCAGTGGTATTTTTTACACAAGTATAGCTGACAGGTTGGTAGAATTACTCTACTGGGTGTGTTTGGAGAGGCCGTGAAGGAATACTTTGTTCTAATAATCGAACGGGTGATATTTTGTAGGGGAGGAGATTAATGGTGGTCTAATTTTTGATTTACTGTATCAAACGTATTTAGTATTCTTTTATGGTAATTATACTGTAATTTTTAAAGCTTATAGAGAACAGAATCTTCATGAACTGTAATTTTTTTGTGATATAATGGAAGCTTTTCTTTTGGTAAAGCAACAACTGCCATGGGAAACGATAGTGTTATATACTTGTGTTTCTTTGTAGACTTGCTTTTGGAGATTTCTGTCGAAAAACGTGAATAGTTTGTTCACCGATGTATCAATTTCGTGAATTCCTGGAACACTTGTATTTCATGTCAAGGATGCTTGGCAAATTTAAGAGTTGAAATAGAGAAAAAGCTTTTTTTTTTTTTTTT